CTAAACCTTATAAACACCGCATTTCTGACATCCATATATATTCAACACATCCCCAGCAACACATCTACCCTACAAAACGGAATACTTACGGCAGAATTCGACAGGTATATTTGGGAATATTCGAGAAAATTGGCCGGCACAGAATATTTACAGCATGCGAGTGACGTCACGGGTCATAAGAGGTGAGAGTTCAGAGGTCGGAGTCTAAAGGTCGTTTTGCCGGTACATTCACGAGTTGCACATTCCCAGGATCCTTTGCGCACAGGGTAGGTCACGTGGGCGCACAGGGTAGGGAAAGGTCGCGGTAAACCACGTGACTCATCCTCGGCTCTGGTCGGAAGAAGGTGCCCTAAGCTATCTGGCCGATAGTAGGCTGGGAGCATTCAATTTCAAAAGTCTGTCTTTTTGTCACATTTTCACGTAGTATGTTGAATCAACCCTATCCTATCCCATACCGATAGTCATGGAGCAAAAATTCAATGCCGCTTTGCCGTACGAACGCCGTGAAAAACTACGTGCCTCCCGCCGCCGGCAGTGGTCTCAGCCATTTTTGAAATTTCCGAGCGCTCGCGAACACTTCCGACTTCTTCCGACCAGAGCCGAGGATGAGTCACGTGGTTTACCGCGACCTTTCCCTACCCTGTGCGCCCACGTGACCTACCCTGTGCGCAAAGGATCCTGGGAATGTGCAACTCGTGAATAGCATCTGGTGTGCAAAGTTGTAATATTCTACATGCAAAAAAAGTAACTATAAATAATATAAGAAATACGTCTGTTTTGCCTGCTAATAGTGGCTCATTATGAGGCACTTTTAATCTCCTTTGTGCCATTTCTGTTCTGCAAAACTGGGCCGAAATTTGACGTGATTCAACACGTGGCTTTGTTGTTATTGCCAAGCTTTGATGCTGACATGATTACAGGCACACCCAGTATGTCGACATAGATCGCACAGTAGCTAAGAGCATGAAATCGGCATGGCACCAGCACTGACGCATATGTGGCAGGAAAACCCACGTGTGTCACAAAGATCACAAACGCCCGTAAAGAAAAACGGCAAAAATTTGACAAGAGAGCAATAATTTGTATTTACTTGTTTAAACTATGAACGGATCCAAGGGGTGAACTCCCTTGTTTAGTTTACTAAAGTGGCAAATTTTCAACCCACGCAAGTTTGCCGCTGTGGGCTTTAGAGGCCCCTCCCCTTTTCGGGAGCAGGCTGGAACTGTAAAGCACTTTAATTATTAGGCTGGTGACTAAGTACATTGTAACTCTTTGTATTTTTTAAATATATTTTCACCTTGGCAAGATATAGAATTAATGCAATTTAGTGGAAGGTGTTTATGTCCAGAGTTACAAGGAGAGATCTGTTGAACACGGGAGGAAACATATTTGTGCTACATACATCGTGGCGTGGGAATTGTTAAATAGGCCAGCCCATATATGGCGTCCCAGAGGGAAAGCCGACACTATGAAGGGGGCGGAACATCCCTTCTACAGACTGGGCTAGACACCCTGACGCCAGTGTCTGGACGTCAAGAGACTGCCGCTGTCACTCCCATTCTCCTGGGAGGGCCGCCACGTGCGTTACTTTGCTAAAAAAAACATTTTTCACATTTGATCTGGCATTTTTGAACAAAGAAATGCAGTCACAATGCCGCTACGTTGTACTGAAAATTAGCGTAGCGGGGGAAAATTGGCGTAGCGGGTCAAAATTTTAGCGTCGCGGGCCCCGACGCTACTTAGCGCTAGCTAGAACCCTGTTTACATTGATATAACTATAATATGAAGTAACATACAACTAAAACAACAGTTGGATAGCTATTCCCTACTTTTAGGATTTTTAATTGCATAATGCAAACTGTTGATTTTCAAAATAAAATAAAAAAATGTTCATGCCCCGCATTCCAATGCTGGAGCAGAAAAGCTTGAAATACCTACCAAAACACTTGAATAAAGACATACTGTCAGTATGGAAATGCTCTGTGCAGGTGTTAATCAAGTTAAATCCCAACAGCCAATCAGCAAGAAATGCTCTGTGCAGGTGGAAATGCTCTGTGCGGGTGTTAATCAAGTTAAATCCCAACAGCCAATCAGCAAGAAGTATAGAGGAAAGCTGCATGCCTATTGGTTGATGCCCTGCATTCCATTGTGATGACTCATGCCCAGACGTGGTAAACACGGCAGTCACTAACACAGTAATACATTTGCTATAACACAGCCAAAAAAACTCAAATAAAACCATTCTAAAAGCCTGTATCACAAAAATTTAAAAAACGCCTAGGGGTATTTGCCCACTGTACCTCCATACCAAATTTCAGGACCTTAGGCCCTAAAATGAAGAAGCTGAATCCATTTAAAGATATGGCAGGAGGAGAAGGAGGAGGAGGAGAAGGAGGAGGAGAAGAAACATCAGAAAAAGCAATATGGGTTCACCACCACTTCGTGGTGTGGTGAACCCATAAAAATGTCAAGAGATGGCGGTGGATGTTTGATTTGAAAGCCTGTAGATTGTAGGTTAGTGGGAAACACTTGTCAGGAAGGGAATTCCAAAGCTTGGCTGTACGGGGAAAGAAACTGTCACTGTAGAAAGATTTTGATTTTGATTTGATTTGTTTAGATTAAGTAGAGGTTTGAATGTGTTTGAAGTGGCATGGTTTGTTTTTGGTGAAATTTTAAGGCCACGGCATGTAATTTTTATGAATGACATCAGTGCACACATTAGCTTTCACCTGATATTGGGGGGGAAAAAAAGAAATTTTGTTGCATTCTGACGGTGTTTAACCTGCCGAAAATGGGCAAAGATGTCTGTTGCCATGCCGGAACGTGGATGGCAGATAAATATAAAGAGAGGAGACAACACAAGGCTCTGATGTAATGTTTTGTCTTTCAATCAAACTTGATGCAGTGATTGTAGTTCCTTTTATATGTGATGGTGGCTTTATATATGTGATGTTCCCACTGAATCAAAACCATTTGTACAATGATTGAAAACTTTTATTTTTCAAAGTATGTTTCAGTGAGAGATGATTGCAAAACATTGACAGCCAAGCTCGTAGTACATTTTGCTTGATTGTAACATCAAAAAACTGACTGGACCTTTTTTCTTAGCTTGAGACGGAGGCTCTGGTAACTTCTGCCCGGCTACTGGACATCATCGCGGACAGACTGACCACGTTTTCCCGCGATGGTCAGCAGCTCAGTCCGCTGCTCCTGTCGTCCGTGGTGAACGGCTCGTCCAACGTCATCGCCGCGACCCTGGAGGACGCCGTAACCACGGAGATGGTAACCATGGAGACAGAGGCGGCCAGGAGGGACATCGTGAAGGCAACGGTGCAAGTCATCGAGAAGGCACTAAAGGTATGTGTCTAGATTATAGAGAAGGCACTAAAGGTATGTGTCTAGATAATAGAGAAGGCACTAAAGGTATGTGTCTAGATTATAGAGAAGGCACTAAAGGTATGTGTCTAGATAATATAGAAGGCACTAAAGGTATGTGTCTAGATTATAGAGAAGGCACTAAAGGTATGTGTCTAGATTATAGAGAAGGCACTAAAGGTATGTGTCTAGATTATAGAGAAGGCATTAAATTATGTGTCTAGATTATAGAGAAGGCACTAAAGGTATGTTTCTTACTTAGTGCTGTGTACCGGTTCGCTGGACCGGTTCCAGACTTGTAAAAATGTTTAAGTTCAAGTAAAAAAAAACCTGATGCCTAACCCCATAACTAACAGAGAATTGGTAGCCAACTTCTACTTTGGTATGAAGGTCTCCTGTGCTCTTATGCAAAGGGTAGGCATCTCCATTTCGTAGCCCTTAGGCAACATACAGTACAGTTGTGCAAGGCACTACAGCAGGGGGCTAGTCCGCTGGTAGTGCTGTGTGTTTGACCTTCCCACACTCTTTGTCATATCTGCTGAGTGCTAAGCAGAAAAAGAAGTTGGCACCATTTTTAAAGTCTTTGGTATGACCCAGCCGGGGTTTGAACTCACAACCTCCCGGTTACAAAGTGACTGCTCTACCAATTGAGCTATTGCTACTTTGATATACCAGAGGTTAATTGATGTCTGATTGGTTCTCCAGGCACAGATGTTGCAGCAGGCTCCAGGAGAGTACCCAGCAGTCCTCACCAGTCGCTTGGTAACCGCTACCACGGCAACGCACCTGTCTGTAAACAACCTACAGGTAACCACGGGCGATGGGCAGTTCCGTCTCCCGGGTAACCTGGACGCTATCCTGAAGTCCAGCCGCAGTGGCCCTCCCCTGGCAGACTGTTACGGTACTCACATGCTGAAGTACAGGAGGAACCCGTATGCTTGGAGCAGCACTTCCACTAAGGTAATACTTCAGTGGCTGAAATCCTTTTTCCCTCATATTCTGCAATATTGCAGAATGTCACAATATTGTTCTGCAATTTGGAAATACTTTCTGCAATATGCACTGACTCAAATCCATACACAGGCATAACTAGTATCAAAAAGTTGAAGTTAGCACATTGCAACATTCAAACACAACTGAACCCCTATCCTGATTTTTTCAGTCTGCAAAATTGCAGGCTGCTTAATTTTTTTTCTGCAACATGGAATATTTCTCTGCAAAATGCAGACTGCAGATGGGTACAAAATGTCAGCAGCTAAGGCTTGTAGGAAATCAAGATAGGCACACAAGAAAACAAATTGATATCACTTCAGCTGCTTATATTTGTTACATGGTCAGACACCTTACAGTTTTATTTTACCTCCCAAATGCACAAGCTATGTCTATCTATTTCCAGATCTAAGCCTGTGTTTGTTGTGTTGTTTCAGGTGTCGAGTGAAGTGGTGTCCCTGTCCCTGTCTACCTGTGAAGGGGATGACCTGTCTGTCAACAACCTGCCTGACAACAACCGCATCACCATGAGGATACCTCGTGCTTCCTCATCTGTAAGCTTTGTTTGTTTCTTGTTTGTTTCGCATAACTGGTAAACCACCTTTAGGCGTAACACACCAGTTTTGTACATGTATGTACATGTAGAAGCTGCGTAAGACTGGACTGTAAAGTTTGAACCACTGGGAAGGTCCCCTACTCTTTTTGATAAGTGTGGTGGGTTCTTTAACGTGCGTGGGGTTTGCCTCCCCCAAAAAACGGGACTTGCCTCCTAGGTACTCATTTCCACCTGAGTGAAGTGAGGAAAGTCGTGTAAAGTGCCTTTTCCAAGGGCAGAAGATCGGTGACATGAGCAGGATTCGAACCTGGACCTCTTGGGTGTATCTAAAATCTTGTATCGTGATAGACAAGTAGTTTTTTTGTTTTAGTCCTGAATAGTCTGTGAATTGTAGTACAAGCATTGAAAACAAAAGCAAATTGTCTTACAGGAGACTACGCCAGAATTTACCCTTGACCGTGAGAACCAGCAGGTCCACAAGTTCAACGTGAGCGCGGAAAACCGTCAGCAGTCGTTACATGTGTCCGTCAGACTGCGGACTGTAGCAGACAGGAGCTTTCCTATCAGGATGTTACTCAGGTACAGGGGTCAGAACTCTTAGGCTTTTTCTTTATTATATTTCAGTCCATACCACATACTATGGATGAAATATATTGTGTTCCCTCATGTTTCTCCTTCTTCTTCTTCTTCTCCTGCCACTTGGTCAGATGGATTCAACTCAGCCATCATTCAGAGATATGTTGTATTTGCTCCCAAGCAAATGTCAGTCTTAAATCTAGTTCTTTTTGGGTCTTCCCTTATGACTTAATATGAGTTTGATTGTTGTCTCAAATGTTACTCACGTGTGAAAATATGAAGAAATGCTCAGTGCTACATTTGTTTGTCAAACTGTCTTGTCTTTATTGTCATTATTTTGCTGCCCTTAAGCTCAAAAGGCTAATCTTCTAGGGTTCATACAAAAATAAAAGCATGTATACAACAGATAACATGGTATAAAACACACATTTGGCACAAAAAGAAATGACTTTGTACATTATGTACAAATTAAGGAACATAATCTACATAGTATTACTATAGCTAGTTACAGAACTCACATTATATTATTATCATGCATTCCATTGGCTAAACATATTCCTCAGTGCTTTTTTAATATTTTTTATCATTATCATGCTGGGCTTCTTTTCATATCTTTTTAGGTAGGCATGATGAAAATACTACATGTACATGTATGTATTTTGGAACGTCTGATTTGTATTGTAGTTGCAAAAAAATGTATGTAGTTACTTGATAAAAGCAGTCTAATGTGCAATCCTCATTTAATGTTAGCATGTGTGGTTTACATATAAAGGTACATTTACCTTCATCTGTGCCCATTGTTTTATCCAAATGTAGCCATGAGTCGGAGCCAACTCCTAACAATGCTCGGTGGGAAAGAGTGTACCGGTACAATACCCGAACTCTGACGCTGTTCCTCCCACCTGGCTCTCTCAACGGTAAGGTTTCTCGTGTCCTGTGCAAAATGTTTAAGAAAGTACTTGTACATGTTTGTATACATGATTAACTTTTAGTACTTGTATTTGAATACATTAATACATGTAGCAGTGTCTATTTCCAGCTTATCGAAATGGATGTACTAGCAGTAGTAGAAATACTTTTTTCAGTATCCTGCAATATTACAGAACGCCAAAATTTTGTTCTGCAATTCAGAATTACTTTCTGCAAATACACTCTTAAAGGTCCATATCTAAACCCATGGCATTTACAAAATTGCATGTTGGCATACAAGTTGAAAAATACACGCTAAAATTACTTGACAATGTTTTTATCATAGAATCAGTTACAAGTAAGCACAAAAGCTTTTAAACACCGCTGAACCCCTAGCCTGATTTTTTTCAGCCTGATGTTGGTTATTTTTCTTTTGTCCCAAAAATGTCCCAAAGTGTCGTTTTTAGCTGTTCCAGCCTACATTTTAGTGGTCAGTGGCCATTGGACCACTTTTAATTTCGAGCCCTGATCACACCGTTGTTCCTTCCTCTTTCAGATACTGGCTCGTACTACATCGGGCTGTTGGACGCAGAGTTTGACAGGAAGCCGTATCGTAAGTACGCGGTGTCGGAGCGTACGTACACCTTCAGACTGTGGTGGGGGGAGTGCCTGTACTGGGACGAGACCAACAATATCTGGAGTGGGGAGGGATGCGCGCCGCGACAGGACAGTACCTACTACTCCACCCACTGTAGCTGCAACCATCTCACTGCATTCGGAGGGGGGTTCCAGGCCTCCATGGCTGCCAATGACTTCTTTGATCTGACTCAGTTTGCAAGGCAAGCTCTAGTTTTTCCTGCCATCATTAGGCTACACCAATTGAATTTGTTGGTTCACGGATTCAATTTTTTTAATTTGCATTTGGGGCTGTAATAGGATGCCTAGGTCCTCTTTTTTCCCTGTCGCTTCATATTTTTTCTAAAAAAATCTGAGAACCAACAAATCAAATTGGTGTGGCCTTATGTGTTAATTCTGGATGCTTACATTCATTTTGCACTAATGATAACATTTAATCTTGACATACACATAGTAAAATAAAAAAATTGACACACAAGACTTAATTCTAAACATAGAAGCTTTCTGGACAAAATTTTAAGTAAAACACTGGATGAAAAGTGAAAGATCTGATCATATTTTTGAACTGAAATATCTGTTTGTGATGATTTTTAAAACCATCTGGTGATATTTTGGCAATTTTTCAAGTTCTTTCTTTTTTTTTCAGACTCAATGAGAACCCTGTGACCTTCAGCCTCATCATTACCATATTTGGTGTGTACCTCATCCTGCTGTTCTGCTGTTACCGTGCCGACAAGCACGATGCTAAGAAGGATGGACCAATCCAGCTGCAGGACAACTCCCTGTCTGACCAACAGTGGTATGAGGTCACCGTGGAGACTGGCTTCAGGCCAGGTGCCTCTACATCTGCTAAGGTGAGGAACTAATTTAAACTAGAAAGGTAACATATGCAAAGCAAATGCATAATGTTTACCCTTGCATATGGTCTGCTCTGTGAATTCTCACTCAAACACATTCATATATATATGGTCAGACAGGAGTCTAAATCCCTCCTGCTATAAAATTGCAAAACCCAACACTAGTTACCATGGTGACAGACGTCTGGTTCAGGTCATTGACCTCATTGGTTTGGAGAAGAAGAAGAGAAAACAGCGCAAAAACAATTTGTTTCCCTCCAGTAAATATAAATATGTAGGCAATGTCTAGAATCATTGCAGTATGTTGTTTTGATCTCTTCAGAGCTTTAAGAACTTTCTGGATGGATGAAAAAATTACAGACAGAGCTTTAGTATTGGTCATTTTAACATTATGCTTTGGTTGTATTTCTGTGGACTAAAATTAATTTTTGTTTTGTGAATTAGCGGATGCGATTGTTATTGGACTGCATCATATAACACTGCATTATCAGTAGCACTCCTACTTACATGTACATGTATACTGTTGATTGTTGGGACTTGAATTTGCTACTAAATGTTTACCAGTCCTCTTTGATTGTGTTCCAGGTTTGCCTGGTGATTTATGGTGAAGATGGAACATCAGAGACCAGGGAGCTGAGCTGTCCTGACAGGGCCTTGTTTGAAAGGAACTCACGGGACATTTTCATTGTCAGGTACATGTAATGTGAAACTTTGAAAAAAGGTGCAGTAGGGAATTAGTATTTTTTTTTCATTCACAAATTTAAAGGCAGCATGTATAACCAAGAAAATTTCTTTCTTGTGTGTTTGTAGTTATTTGAATACAGTTAAGTCATTAGTGGTGAGAAAGAAATGATGTTAACACAGACTGACAGGAAGGTCAAATTGGAGGTCAAAATGGCGCCCCACAGGCTTGGAGGAAGTGATATCAAGTTGACGTCAAAATGGAAGGAACACTTTGATGTGCACGTACAGAATCAGAAAGAAATTATATGAAGAATGAATAAAATAAGAAATTCACAACTACTCAAAATACTTCGCAGAGGAGTGAAACCTTTGATTTCTTGTTTGGGATGTTTCTGACTGAATGGTTGACATGTTTGTTCTCCAGTGTCCCAGACAATTTGGGCCCCCTGTGGAAAGTCCAGGTGTGGCATGACAACTCGGGCGCCTCGCCTAGCTGGTACCTGAGTCGCATCATCGTGCGTGACCTCCACTCCAACTACGCCTGGTACTTCCCCTGCGAGCAGTGGCTCGCTGTGGAATACGAGGACGGACAGGTCCAGAGAGAACTCACTCCTCTTGCTGATGGAGCAGGCTTTAAGAAGGTATGATACTGTAACTGTTAACTAGAAAGGCCGACATCTGCTTGGGAGCAAATACAGCATATTTCAGTCCATCTCCCTCGCAAAAGTGGACTATTCCAAACTTACCCCGGTGCAAAACTGGACCATTCTCAAATAGATAAAGTATACAGCAGTTATGTAATTGAGGACAAGCACTTTGAATCTCAATAGCTTTACTTACAAAATTTCACAATCTTATTGGAGGTATGCAAATACTAACAATGAAGATATTTGTTACAATTATATAATATTAAAAATGCTCTCTCTTTTGATGATGAAATTTCACTCCATATTGAAGGTATCTTAACAGTTAATCATTCTACTAGATCTTCCTAATAGAAATATTTCAGTAACTGCTCTGCCCAGTTTTCCACAGAAGAGATTGTACTTATGTTGTGAATGGTTTCCACAGCTGGCGTACTGCAAGGGTTGTCAGTACATGACAGACTACCACCTGTGGCTGTCCATCTACACCCGTCCATCCTACATCAAGTTCACCCGCGTGCAGCGCCTGACTGTCTGTCTCAGCCTGCTCCTGTCCTACTGTTGCATCAACGCCGCCTGGTATCACCTCATGGAAGTGCAGGTTAGTTCAGCATTTTTCATGTCAGAATCTGATGTTCAACCAGAGCTCTAACCAGCGTGTTTGCTCTGTTTCTTCCTCGTCTTTCTCTTCTTCTTCTTCTCCAAACAAAAAAGTCAATGACCTGGACCAGATGTCTGTCACCATGGTAACTAGCATTGTAGTAGACAGCATTGTTACAGTAGTAGCCTGTGGTGTTGGGTTACATTTGTGGCAGGATAGAGCTGGAGGGACTGCTCACAACATATTACATATGAATGTGTTCGAGTAACAAGAAAGAGAACAGTTTCTATAGGCTAGACCAATTGTGAAGGTAAACATTATGCATTAAATTTTCCTTTATTTGCAAATGTTACATTTCTGATGATTATTGAAACTTGTGTTTTGCAGGACTCTGCGGAGCTGGGTTTGATTGACGTGTCGCTGCGTAGCATCATTGTCGGCGCCCTGACGGCATTGGTCGTCCTTCCCGTTCACCTCGGTATTGTCTTCCTCTTCCGGAGAAGCAAAGTAAGTCTGACGTTTCTCACGCCTTAAAAAAATGTTTCTGACAGATGTAATCTCTTTATCAAAATGACAACTTGGGTATTGCATTTATCGGTACGTGGATTTCCCTCAGTTTAAGCTTTACAAAAGTTATTTGTATCAAAGTTATGTAAGTCTTTCTTTTACGAATGTTCCTCTCTTTAGGTAAGAAGAACAAGGAAGATACAAGCAGACAAGGAGTTTGCCTCGGGCAAGAGGCAGAGTTTCCTTTCCGATCCGGGTAAGATATCATACACATGTGTAGTTATCCCTCTCATGACTTAGAGTCATAGTAAGTGACAAGTCTCCTAAGTTAGTAAGATTCCCTTACAAATCAACCAGAGTTCTTTGATTGTCTTGCATCTTGAATACTTGGTGTGTCAGAAATACAAAATAACTGTCAAAATAAAGAAGACCAACATAACTTTTCTACTACATGTAGTAGCTATTATCTAGGTCTTTGTTTACTCTTGCCAAGGCTTGTATCTTGTATGACAGCTTAGGCCACACCAATTTAATTTCTTGGTTAACGGATTTTTCTAGAAAAATAATGAGGCGGGTGGGCAAAAAAAAAATGAAAATAAAAACAGGCCTAGGCATCCTATTATGGCCCAAAATGGTACAATAGGAGCCATGAAGTCAACACACCAGGCTGGTTCAAAATTTTAACAATGAATTTTGAACTTTTAATGATACCATTGCTTTGAAAGATGGAATAACTGTTACAATTAGGATGAAAAGGACTGTTTTCAACTGTTCAGGGCAAAATATGAGTATTTTGCAGTTGATTCTGAATTTTTATTTTTATTTGCAAATCAGAAAAAAATGAAGCGAGCGAATCCGTTAACCAAGAAATTAAATTGGTGTGGCCTTAGATGAAGTTTTTTTGCTGTGTCATAGAACCCATGGAGTTTTCACTGGCTGCGGGTGGTGTTCTTCCTAACATGCGTGAAGAAATACATGCCTTTTAACAACTCACATTTTCACAGTACAGCACAGTCTCTCACTGTGTTGGTTCATGTTTATATTTCTGAATGTTTTGCTGCTTCTTCCAAGCAAAGTTCAATACGATGTGACATAGTGTATAGAATACGGTGGATTATTTTTATTGTGTTCCAACTTCCAAGTACTGCCTCCAAATGTGGCTACAGTTCTCTGGTGGTTGCAGTGCAATGCAACACTGTCACCTCCAACTAAGACCAACATGTATAAATATGCCCTCTACAGAGAGGTTTGCAGTGAAGTAACAGGCACTGCTTTGCATTTTATCATGTACTTTTTTAAACAGACAACATTCAGGAAATTGTAGCCATATTTTAGGGCAAGGTTCCAAACATGTTGGACATAAGGACTTCAACTTATTCAAAGCAAATCTAACCATTCCCTTACTGATTCTTATACATTTAACATCTCTGCATGCTAGGTGTACTGGCTCTTGGTTATCTCTTGTGGCTGTGGTGTTCTTCTTGCTTTGAATCCTTTTTTTCTCCTTTGCTCTTTCGCCCCCCACCCCCTTTACACTGCAGGCCCCCCCACTGAGTGGAGCCCGACTTTTTATTCTGATCAAGGTACGATTGAGACGGTGATGACCACAGATAGTGGGATGATCCTGGACCAGCCTTATATCAACTGGACGGCTCTACAGAAGTGGGCACAGAAGACCTGGGACAAGAAGTATTCGGTTAGTGTCTTATATTTGTACATTTGTGCATTATGTTAAGGCCACACCAAGTAAATTTTATGGATGATGTCCTTTAGAGACCCTAAATCTAATGCGAGAGGGGCCGAAAAAAAACAAGAAGTGCCCTAAAAAACAAGATGCCTAGATTAGAAATATACTAAGAGATGACAAATGTTAGGACACAAATTGAATGAGGTGACACAGTGTAACAAGCAAGAAGTCTTTCATTCATCATCAAAATAGCAAAAAATCAGGTGGAACGGAAGTTGTCGTCCTGTCCTGTTTCTTTCATCACATTTTTGCTCTTTACCCATTTCGCGTTACGGGTTTCACGTCAATCGGACGATTTGCAGCACTGCTGTGACTCTTTGGTCATAGTTACAGGAAGCAGAATTTCTTGTTTTTTTTCTAGGAACAGGCCAAAATCAATGCGCGCGCGGACGTCATCCTTAAAATTTACTTGGTGTGGTCTAATGCAAGTTGGCATGTTTTGTACAAGTGTTGCTGTTTTGGGGTGCTATATAATTTTTAATGTCTGATTATAAGTTAGATGTTTTTCTCAGTCTCATTTATTGTGGACCAACATATGGCTAAGAGTCAAATACAATGTAGATGCAAGCACATGTACATTGTCAAGTAAAAAGAGTGAGTGTATGGGAAAGTTGATATGCAGAACATATCTGCCTGTTTAAAGAAGGTTGTGAGAATGCCCTTTGCTAGAATTTTATTTTTCTAGAATTTTGCGTGCATTGAAAATGTAGTTTCCAAAAGAATTTGCTACTTGTGTTTGTACCAATGACTAAAATGTATGCAATTTGGTGTATTTTCCATACAAATATATTATATAAAAATGCCCTCTTAAAATTTTTAGTTTTTGGAATTTTGTGTGTATTTAGTTTCCAACAAAACTGGCTTTTTATAATTATGCCTATGACTAAAAATGTCTGCAATTTTGCAGGATTCCATCCCAGGCAGTCCTGCGACCAGCCACACAGGCAGCCAAGCTGACACACAGGCCAGCAGTTCCCACGACAGCCAACCGTGTCACTCGGAACATTCAGGCAGCCAACAGTCTGTGCAGCTGCCACCCCACCCGGGCTCTGGGTCCTCGGAGTGTTCCAGCGGGTTCGAGGACTACCAGAGCCAGGATAAACACAAGCACAACGGCCTGGGGGGGTCACAGAGTACCCACAGCAGTGACACTGGCAGTCTGCACACCGAAACTGCTACAGGTGGGCTGTATACAGGGACTGGTTTAGGCTACACCAAGTAATTTTTATGGATGACATCCGCGCACACATATTTTTGGTGCTTTCAGATTTAGGGTCTCCAGAGGACGTCATCCATAAAAATTACTTGGTGTCAAACAAAAATCCAAGATGTTAGAGTTCTGGGAAGTATTTGAGGTTTTCATGACCTTGAAGTTCGCACAACTCCAAAAATTGTTTTAGGGACTGTGGAGGAGACTGTACAATGTGTTATGTAATTTATAACACCACTACCTAAAGACAAATGATTGGTCACCGCCAGGTCACCTCCCTGTCAATCAACATTCAAAATCACCTACCACACACCCGCCCACCATGAAACAAAAGTAATTAGCACAGACACAGCATAAACTCAGCCACCCAAAGCAATGTGTCCATTTCTGGAAGTAAATGATTATGACTATATGTCTTAGAGCAAATAATTTCTGGAGAGAAAGTAATGAATTACAAAGTCTGAAGTCATACAGGTAGTACAAAAATCAACATTACAATACAAAGACTTTAAGGTAACCCAGTAACATGTTGTTTCCAGAAGTGACCATCCAGGAGCCTCGTAAGAAGTTGAGGAAGATCTTCCTGCCGCCGTGGTGTCGGTATGTGGCCTGGGCAGCCTGTGTGGTCATCATCCTCCTGTCCGGAGTGGTCACTATCCTGTATGGCTTCAGGTAAGACCTGTGAAGAAACTGCATCGTGCACTACTTCGGCCTAGAAATAAAATTTTGTGTTTCTTGACTGACCCGTGAAAAAACTGCTGACCCTAGCCTGTTTTTATGTGTGAACCCCTACAAGGAACATTCATTTTTCGAGCTGATTGACCGTTTCTACCACCATACCTGAGTGATGAAACATAATTGTGCATTCAGCTTTCAAACATTGACATTGAAAATATAAGTTGGACCACTACTAGAGAAGTAAAAACAAAAGTCTAAAAAAAAAACTACCAGTACCAAGTTGAACCCTAATTTTTTTCAGGACTGAAACTGTTACAGGAAACAAGACATTTTTTTTCTAGCCCTTACGAGATTAACCAAAGCAATAGTTACTCAAGCAACCGGTTGGACTTTGAAAATCTATCCAGTTGCTTGGGTAATTGTTACTTTTGATGTCTTATTACCTGGATGTCTAACCTTCATGGATGTAATGAGATTAACATGTAGTGAAGCAACTACAACATCTGTTGCTTCATTAGTGCATAATTCTGTATTAAATGTTGCTGTCTTTTTCAAGATTGTGTAGTCATGTGTAGAAAAAAAGTTGAAGCTTGCTTTCAACCTTTTCAACTGCGTACGGAATGTTTAGAATGAAACACATAACACTTTTCTGATTTGCTCTGTTGTTTTCAGGTTTGGGAAGACCCAGAGCATCCGTTGGCTCCAGTCTCTGTTCTTCTCCCTGATGCAGAGTGTCTTCTTAACACAGCCTCTCCTGGTGAGTAATATAAGTGATATAAAATTTTTAGGCAACATAACTGAAATATGTGTAGTGTTATATAGACTAGTATGAAGTTATGGACTAGTCTATCTACCAGATAGTAGAATCAATCTAGGTGGACAGAACCCAACTTCTGTTGTGTATTTGTTCTGTAGTATTCGTGGTTTAGGCCACACCAATTTAATTTGTTGCTTCTCGGATCGCCCTGTCCATTTTTTTCAAATTTGCAAAAAAAAAAAAAAAAAAAATTTTTTTGGTTTTAAATTAACTGCAAAATGTTAAATGAAAGACATATTTTGTCCTCAAAGTCCTTTTCTTCCTAGTTCTTAAGTTTTTCAATGTAACAATGCAATTTTGTTTCTGTATCATTAAAAGTTCAAAATCTATTGTTTTGATTATAAACCAGCCTGGTATGTTCACTTCATGGCTCATATTGTAACATTTCCAGCTATCATCGGGTGCCTTGGCCTGTTTTTTTGTTGTTGTTTTTTTCGCCCTGTCGCTCCTGATTTTTTCTGAAAAAATCCGAGAAACAAATTAAATTGGTGTGGCCTTACAGTATGTGTTTTCCTTGTTTGCAGGTAGCAGTTGTGACGCTTTACATCTCGTGGCGCGAGCGGCACAACAACCGCGCGCTGGATTACCGTGACAGCGATGACAGCAGCTACGACACCATCAGTACCATGTCGTCTGAGCTCCGGCGCAAGATCCACGCTCCCAAACCCACCTCGCGACTGGAGACATACCGGGATAGCAACGATCTGGAGAAGGTTTGTCTACTCTGCCGAGATTTGATGCTGGACTGTGAAATAAATTGTGTCTCTTTAGAATATAATTAGGCTCATTCTCATTGAAATGTACAGAATTCCAGTTACAGAGGTTACAACATGATTACACTTTTGTTTTTTTTTCTCCAAAAAGATTACTGTTTTTAGCTTCATCTTTTAGGAGCAAGTAGTTATACGTACGGACATTTCAATCCCTGGGCAACTTTCTTATACAAGGTGAACTTCACGACTGTTGTACTCTGATGAGTACTTGAGCGGTAATAGAGGTCCAAACACATATCTTCCAAGTCATCAATTAAACATAGTGTTGTGGTACATTTTTTGTGAAACATAGTAAGTGTACACTGTAGTGGTAAAGTGAAGAAAGCATTAATGAGGTCCATGATTTAGCTCATCTACAAATGCACATGAAAATGAGAATAACAGAATGATCATTATCATGATCGTGGGCATCAAAGGAAAACCAAACCAAACCAAGTCAGAAAAATAATTCTGGCAAGTAGCCTTGGTGAAGTAAATAGATTTTGAAAATCTTGTGTTTCACCTCCCAGGGTATCCAGGCCCGTCAGCGCTCGCGGTACCTGAGGTTCGCACGTCCTCCACAGGAGACCCAGCTACGGCCTGCTCAGGAGAAGAGCAAACAGGAGAAGCTACTGGGCGAGGGAATCAGGTGGGGCAACTCAGCTAGATTAGTAGTGATTGGTTAATGGTTAAAACTGCAGTACACATCTGGAACAGTCTCCCAGACAACGTGGTTGGCCTAACCACTGACAACAACCTCCAGTCATTCAAAACAAGAGTACACCGGCATCCTCTATCCACCATCAGGACATTAAAACAAGATTATGAAGACTTCTGTAGTTCGTTTGATACTCTTTTAGGTCATGCTGGGATATGTTAACTAGATTTTAGAATCAGGGAACCAGGCAAATCCATTAAGAAGTCAAGGAGGGCTATCAGTAACATTTGTTACCCTCCTCCCCCTTTTCATCATAATTATCATTTCTTAAATTGTTCTGACACTTCTTCCTTCATCCAAGAAAAGAAGAAGCCTTCCTTAAAAAGACCCATCCCTAAGTGAGCCTTGTGTTTTGCAGACAAGGCTGGCTGTATGGAACCCTGTTTGTACTGGTGATGCTGATAGCCTACAGTCGGGTGTCAGGAGGGGCGTACTTACTGAACCAGACCGCCAGGAACACATTTGTCAGGTCAGTGCTATCCCTTACAATACATTCATGTAACAGTTATGTCCTTAGGCTATTGGCTTTATATAGTGTATAGTAACCTGTACCTTCAGTGTGATATCCATATACATGTATGTGAAAAGGGATAGGTGCTTCATATTGGCAAAATTCAACAGCAATTTTAACATTCAAATTTCTGCATATGGTCACTATATGCGGGAAGCATTTGGGTACTAGGAAAGAACAGGAGCTATTTGACCAATTTGCAGAATTCTTGCCTTGACTTGTCTATTGTTTCGTTTTGGACTTTCAAAAAGTTTGTCTTCACTTATTTGCATGTCAATCGATCCCGTACATATAAACCTACTTTTCTGACAACTCCAGTGTCACTGACGAAAGGTAGCGGATGCTACCTGAAACGTCTGACTGTTTCCAAAATCATATCCAGTTGCTTGAGTAACTGTTTTTTGGCGTGTTAGGGCACTGTGTCATTTTTATATGCTACGGAAAAAATCCTGTATCTTATTGTCTACATGTGCAATTGCAAGTGTGATGATGGTGGAATATTCCTGTGTTTGTACTTCAGGCCTACTGAAGGGTTTGGCTCTGTGAAGTCTGTTGATGACTGGTGGAGGTGGAGCCAGGGGCACCTTCTGGACCACATGTACTGGACCAACTGGTACAACGGACAGCCCAGCAGTATACAGGTAAAACATGTCACATACATGTGTGTCATTTAACCATTGCCTGCTAAGACCACACCAATTTAATTTGTTGGTTCTCAGATTTTTTCAGAAAAAATATGACAGGGAAAAAAAAAAACATGTCTAGGCATACTATTATAGCCCTTAATGCTACGATACGAGGCATGAAGTAAAAAAAAAGGCTGGGTTAAAATTTAAACTATAAATTTTGAACTTTAAATCAAACCACTGCATTGATAGATGGAAAATCTGTAATAACTAGGAAGAAAAGGACTTTCCTCAACTGTTGGGGGCAAAATTTGAGCAGTTTTGAGTTGATTCAGAACCAGGATCTTTTTTTTTGCAAATCAGAAAAAAATGAAGAGGCAGATCCGAGAACCAACAAATTAAAAATTGGTGTGACTCAAGGTACTAGTCATTTGGCACCATATTTTAAGGTCACGGATTTAGGAAACAGGAAGAAGGTTAACTACAGGAAACTTCAGACATTAGCAGTCATATACTATAGTTGTGTCATACAAAATTGTGACAGAAAAAGGTAGTCCTAGATCAGTACAAGTTGACTGTTTGTTCCTCCATAGCCCTCTTATAATGTGTAGAACAAAGGAATTGTACCAGAAATAACTTTTGGCAATGCACAAACTCTTGCATGCAAATGAAGTCATGGACACAGGACACAGACTTGTGATGTACATGTGTATGGGAGGGCTTGTTTTTATTCCCTTGTACTGTTTGTTTCAGGGAGGAACATTTGATGGTGGGAGTGTGCTGCTTGGAGAAGTCACCCTCAGACAACTGAGGGTCACGGAGGAGACATGCATGGTAAGTGTTGTTAGTCATGGAAACAAAAAAAAACATCTTTGAATAAAATAAGAGTGGTTTAGTCCTTTTGTTTGACCTTGATGACTAAAGTTGGGGCCTTGCCCCCCCCCCTCCCCAAACATCAGTCTGCGGTTGAGTCATTTGTTTTGACCTTGACGCAAGGGTACCGAAGTAACAGGTTCCTCACTGGCCACCCAGTGTGGAACTTGCGGGGAAAGTAGCATCTGTACTCGGGGCCCTGTGCAGAAGGAAATTCTAGTGCTGAACAGCTTTGATCCAGTGCTGAGAAAGGAACCCATTACTTTGGTACTTTTGCGACCTTGACTCTGCCCCTCTCCCCAAACATCAGCGTTTGAGTCCTTTTGTTTGACCTTGAAGACTGAGGCTGTGACCTTGCCCCCCTCCCCAGGTCCCTCCCCAGTACAGTGCCCACCTCCCGCAGCTGTGCAGACCTGACTACACCTCCTCCACCAGAGACACCCAGCCGTACGGGGTGAACAGTTCCTGGGTGTACACCGCCGCTCACAGCTCCAGCCACCAGGGGTGGTTCTCCTACTACCACGGAGGTGGTTATGTGGTCGCTCTGAACAGGTCAAGGTAGGTAGAGCTATACTGCTCACTTGCTCACACTATTGCAGTGTTCTAGCCAGTGTCTGTCTTTTCATCATTTGATGAAATTTTGTCATTTGACAGAGTTTCTGTTGATCATTTCATTTTCCAATTTCATTGCCCAATCTTTGACGGACAAAATCAGTGTGTAAATATATAGAAAGAGACGTCATTATACTATTATTATACTATTATTTGCAATTAGCCTTCGGGCAGGAATTTGCAATAAACTTATCAATTTCATGTTTGTGTTCTGAAGGACTGAAGCCCAAACACAGCTGTCAGAACTGTACAGCCAGCAGTGGATAGATGATAAGACCAGAGGAGTGGCAGTGGAGTTCAGCTACTACAACCCTCCTACTAACCTGTTTGGGTAAGCGGAAAACAGGCTCTCTTCTGTATTTTTTTTTTTTTTACAGTCAAACCTGCCTATAGTGGTCACTCAAGGGACTGGCCAAATTTGACCACTATGGCCAGGTGACCACTATAGAGAAACAGCCGGTGAGTTCGACCCCCCCCCCCAAAAAAAAAGGGACACATGCTTTGAGTACCAACAGTGATGTCTTTATTCTGAAACATATGAATACATACATTTGCAAAGGTAAACCCCTTTTATATGTACATGTGTTAGTTCAATAATTTGTTGTTCTTTTGCTTTAGTTGTACTTTATTTTGTACTTGCTTGAAAAAAAGAAATACAGAAATATTGCATGGAAACATTAACTTGACATCAAAGATACATACACTCAACATATTCAGTTAATCTATTCTGGGACAATGAAACCATTCACATAATTTAAAACATACAAAATCACTGGTTGTCATTTACTGTTCTTGTGTACATACTAGTACTACATGTGGCTAAAGAAAAGAAAGCAAATCAAGCAACAAACTTTCAACTCCAAACAAATTTCTATAGACTGCAAAATCATTTAATCTTAAAGCTCAGCTTTCGACGATTTCTTCTCACTCTCTCTGCCAGTCGAATCACTTCCACCTTTTGGAATAAGTTTGGCGTCCGTCTTTCCGCTTTCGCCATCGTTTCTCCGCAATCGCCATGTTACTAGTAGTTGTTGTTGTTAGTCGAAAAGTGGAAGAGAACGACCTCGCCATGTTTTTGTTCTTTGGTGAACACTTGCTTCGCGCGACCGACATACGCCACAGCGAATTCCAACCACGTAAATAAGTTATTTTGTACCAAGATGCTGTCTATTTAGTTAACAGCAAAATAATTGTTCGTCAGTTGCCAGTTACTTTCCGTTTTTGGTCGTTTTTGAACATGAAAACTTAGCGAAAACTCTCCTTTGTTTACGGCTTGGGTTTCTCCCCGCGTGGGTTGTCTGCCTCTACCATTATGCCAATGTGGTAGTCAACAGAAAATTTTCTCCTTTCAGACTTATATCTTTTCTAAAATATCCACTACAGTGTTAAATTTACATCTAATATTAATTGTAGTAATGTATTTCAAATGTTTTCATAATGTAATTACGTCATTTGACGCTAATGAAGTTAAATAAAACTCGGTGTATCTACCTCCATACCAGTGGAGTCTTCCGATGACCCCAATTGACCTCCCTCTGCAGCCAACATGCGCCATCTTGGAAAAATACGAAACGCATTTTCGAGCCAAATTTCTTTAATTATGCCCATGAAAAACGGAAGCTATGCACATATCTACGCATTTCAAAGAATCGAGAAACCAAATATGGATATTCTTAAGTTTTTTTGTAAAGATAATTTGCCGTAATCTTCGCCGAGCGGCCGAGTCCATTGAAAGCTCCATGCGGCACGCACGGCACTGGTGTTGGGGAAAACGCAGATATCAAAGACACCCGCGACCGCAGAAACTTCGTGTCAAAAGTCAGTTTTCCTTTATTTCATACACATATGGAGTCTAATTTTCAGTTCACATTTTAGTAATGTAGCGATCGGAAAATTATCACAAGGCTCATAACGGTCGTAGCCCGAGGTGGGGTGGTGTTAGCCGCGGCGACTGTTGCAGGGCTTCTCTTGCTTGCAGTCTTTTACATTAGCCCTAACAACAGGGCAAATGTAGAAGACTGCAAGCAAGAGAAGCCCTGCAACAGTCGCCGCGGCTAGGGTGGTGTTACGGCCGTGGTGCTTAGCGGGTTACGACCAGCCGCGACCGCTATCGGCGGTGTTGACATGCCGGCGGGACCGGAATGGGGTGACCGCTGACCGCGTTGAACAGTGACCGCTATAGACACGATTCTTAATGCTTACGTCAATGGGAAAAATTCAAGGGACCGGCAAAAACTGACCGCTATGGCCGAGTGACCACTATACAAAGGTGACCGCTAGTACAGGTTTGACTGTATATGTAAAGTCATAAGGTTTGTGGTTTAATATACAGGAAAAAAATTGGCATAAAATCTATGTTTGGTAAAAAAAAAATTGCAAGTCTTACTAAAAACAATGAGCAGATTATTTTTGGACTGAGCACTTTGGACTAGTGCTTCTAGCCTTTTACTATTTAAACCTACTCATCTGATATTTTGTGGAAAGGTTCTCTGTTACCCAATGGATCATGATAGCCCCAGTCAGACCCTTCATGCTTAATATTGAAAATGAAAAAAATCTAGAAATGAATCTCGACATTTTTTTTTTAATCTCGAAATTTTTCCAAATTAGTGAAGGAAACGAAAACCTCTATTGCGCCCCACTATAGTACATGTACATGATGTTAAGGGGATTTTCTGACATTATTTTGCAGTACTGTGTCCCTGTTGCTTGAGCTGCCATCCCTGGGTAGAGCCTACACCCTGCCCCTGGTGTCTGCCGTCACCCTGTATCGCTATGCAGGGACTTACAACTACTTCATCATGGCTTGTGAGGTGAGATGTTCAATATGTATGCATACTTTACTTACCTGGTAAACATTATGAGATGTATGTATCTTGATTCTATTACCGGTAAGTCATAATTGAAGTAAATCACAGTCTATGTGTGTTTCCAGAACAGTCGCTATCATCACCATAGCCATAAGTCCAATTGTGTCATTCTTATGGTGAGGAGTACAGTCACAAAACAGCATTTGCTATCTTTCATCAGTGACATAGAATGAAACGGCCAACACTTGAAGTTCAGAGAATTATTCAGTTGCTCAAATATTTTGTATAATGTAATAGAAATGTTCTACACGGATGTCTAACCTTCATTGATGTATGTTTGCTTCCACAGCTCCTGATGCTGACCATTGTGTTGTACACCATCAAGGTTGAGATGTGTGAAGCTATGAACGAGAAACGTGGCTGTTACTGTAACCCCTGGCACTGGCTACAGGTTGGAAGACTCACAGTAACTCTTAGTTACACTGAAAAGGAATGCTTTTAATTATATCCATCAAAACATGATTTCATTTTACCCTGTATCTAGCTTGTGTGTTGGCTATCAGAGACTGGTCAGTTTTCATATGAAAATATAATTTATGGTGCTCATTTTTCAAACCATCTCACCTCCTCCGTGATGCAGGTGTCTGTTATCCTGGTCGCGGTGTCGTACTTCAGCTGTTGCGTGTACCGTTTCGTGATCGCGTGGTCGGCGGTGGATCGCCTGTTGGTGACCTACCACGAGGCTTTTGTGGACCTGTCACATATCGCTGATATGGACCAGGTAGGAAACACTGTGCTTGATTCATTTATTTCACTGAATCAGATTTAACGATTTTACATTCCTGAACATCTCTACAGTTTTGCGTTAAGTAGGTTGCAAGGTGGTCTTCTGCTTCTATGAAGGGCTGTTGGCTTAGAATCTGAAGGTTCTGGGTTCAAATCCTTGGCAGACCCAAATGTTGTGAGATTGTCTCAAGTGAAAATGAGTAGTGGTAGTACCTAGCTATAGCTTTGGTTAAGAATATCCTAGGCCTCTCGGATGGGATATAAAGCATGAGGTTGTAGAGAGCCACACCATTCTCATGATCATTGAGAAGGCAATAGTCACCTAGTAATCCTTTCATCACAGTTCAATAAAGAATAGACAAGACTCTTTTTGTAGACAAAAGAAGTAACCCAAAAATGATTTCATCAGGTAGGTAGAACATAGGATATTGGGATTTGGAACACAACCAACCTTGCTTACATTTCAGTTTCTATCAGACACCTTCTTCAGAGCTTCTGACTGGAGTACTGCTTCTTGCTGCTATATGTAGCCGATGTAGGTGGCACTTTTGTTCTCGCCGCAAAAGGCGTGTCATAGGCATCAAAACATAAGCAAGGTAAGAAAAATCCCTGTTTCTAAGAAATCCCAATAAAAGAAGTACTAACCATTATGTTCTGTCCTCCTCTCCCCAGGTTGTTGCAGCCCTGGCAGGCGTGATGTTGCTGCTCCTCATGTTGAAGATGTTACATCTGCTCAGGTTCTACAGCGTCTTTACCACGTTCAGCATGGTCTTCCACAGGGCAGCATGGGAGATCTTCACATTCATGGTACGTTTTATGGTAACACAAGATACTGTAGATTTGTAATAACTGAATCACTCACAGTCCTTGGAAAACGTGTTAACCATTGTAGACTTGTGATCTGACGTGTGATTGGTTTGTTTCAGCTGTGGCTGTTGAGTTTACTGGTTGTTGCCCAGTGACTTGACATGTGATTGGTTTGTTTCAGCTGTGGCTGTTGAGTTTACTGGTTGTAGACTTGTGATCAGACTCATCTGACGTGTGATTGGTTTGTTTCAGCTGTGGCTGTTGAGTTTACTGATTGTTGGATTGTTGACGTGTGATTGGTTTGTTTCAGCTTTGGCTGTTGAGTTTACTGATTGTTGACATGTGATTGGTTTGTTTCAGCTGTGGCTGTTGAGTTTACTGGTTGTTGATGTGTGATTGGTTTGTTTCAGCTGTGGCTGTTGAGTTTACTGATTGCTGACATGTGATTGGTTTGTTTCAGCTGTGGCTGTTGAGTTTACTGGTTGCGTTCAGCCACCTGGGGACGTTGCTGTTTGGTCAGTACAGTCTGAACTTCAGCACCTTCTGGCTGACCCTTCAGACGTTGTGCCACACGGCGGTCGGTCACCAGCACCTGGACAAACTCAGGGAGACCCACAGCTGGCAACTAGGCCTGTACCTTGGAGCATTCTTCGCTCTAGTCATGGTTCTCTTGGTTGGACTGGTAAGTTTACCTTCGCATATGGTCTGCTCTGTTAATTCTTACTCAAACACATTTATATATGATCAGACAGGAGTCTAAATCCCTCCTGCTGTAAAATTGCAACATGATGTAACTCAAGACCAGTTACCATGGTGACAGACATCAAGTTCAGGTCATTGGCCTTATTGCTTTGGAGCAAAAACAATGTTTTCCTTCGGTATACATAAGTGAAGTATTGTTTGTGTCTGTCGGTCTGTGCGTATTGTCACAGACCTCTGGGAAGTGTTTTGAGAACTGTAGAGTGAAATTTATGATGTAATTTGAAATAAATGGGTATTACGCCACTTCCTGAAGGTGCGTACTAGGTCTCCTACAGGCAACCTCCTTATAAATCAACTGTCAAAATCACCTCCCACCCACCCAGTGCTACATGTAGTTTTAACTACAGTGTAGTCAGGGGTTACTTGCCATCACTGATTACCTTTTGATGAAATGTAGCTGGATCCAGTTGCTGTATACAGCAAAGCCTTTCTTCCACTTACTGTATCATAAAGAACAGCAAAATACAGGAAAGATTTTAGAAATGTTTTAATAGCAGTTAAGTGATGAAGACTTTGATGATTGAATGATTATCATATGACAGTATTGAAAACAGATTGTTGATCTATTGATGAATGCTTAAACCTTTTCAGTCCATTGTTGGTTTAACACTTAAACTTGTTTCTATTGACAGATTATCGGTATCCTGACATCAGCGTACAAGGCCGTGAAGATTCGCTCCAAGACAGACTCTCCGTCTATCACCATGGCAACCTACGTCTGGGAGAAGTTCCTGATGTGGGCAGGGTTCAAGTCCCCACCCCAGGGGGATGTGCCCAAGGGTCCCAACGTGGTCCCCTCGGTGAGTGATGGTGTCTTAGTGGGGATTTGTTGTGCAGTTAAAGAGGAACAAGTTGGTAAAACCTGTCATTATATCATGCATGGTATGTCTGAAAAGTGAGCCATTTTTCCGCTCCCCGCCGTCGCGATGACGTAACCCCAAACTTTTAAAGCGTTGATGTGTTGGATGCAATTTGATCGTGGAGCTTTTTCTGTCTTCTTGAGTTTCCCACATACAGATGACAACATTTAGCCCAGTATACTGGCACGTAGGTTATACAATCCACCAAGAAGGAAGGGAGCACACCATTGTATCGGTGCTTTTAAAAGATTTTCTGTGGTCCGTTGCGCTACAAAATACATGTCGAAATACATTCGTCAAAGAAGAAGATCCGGACTGGCCTGGCCTGACTTAACTGACAAGATTCAAGGGCCTCGCTGCTGATGTAGGCTTCTTGGTGGGTGACAAGGCCAATATTGTAATGATACAATGTTGACAGTATGTTTTCCCTGTCTCCAGGAGTACACTATGGCGGAGTTTGAGTACCAGGTTGACGAGTTGTTTTTCTATATGATAAATAATATATGTTGAGAATGTTGTTTTTTCCCTGTCTCCAGGAGTACACCATGGCGGAGTTTGAGTACCAGGTTGACGAGTTGTTTTTCTATATGATAAATAATATATGTTGAGAGTGCTGTTTTTTCTCTGTCTTCAGGAGTACACCATGGCAGAGTTTGAGTACCAGGTTGACGAGTTGTTTTTCTGTATGATAAATAATACAGTACCGTTCGCGTTATAGTTAACCGGGTACCCCGTTACTAACGAGTTATTTTTTCGTCAGAAAATGGTTAGAAAATCGTCAGTATTTGGTTAGATTTTCGTCAGAAAATGGTTAGAAAATCGTCAGAAATTATTTCTAACGCGTTACCGTTTGCGTTAATGTGATAGGGTCGGATTTCATGTTTGTTTTGCGCGCCGACAAGACAATAGCAATTTGCCACCTCCTGGGGCGTCCGCTAATGTGTTGCGATGTTGCCCCTTGAAAAATACAGCACCAGAGGCAAGTGGACATGTGATTCGTAAAATAACTTTGTGGTTTATCCATGTGTCGACTGTGTGAAGCGAATTGTGCTATCTTTTAATGCTATTCTATAGTT